TTTGTCGTGACCTCCACGAGTGATCTCCATAACGTCACTCGTGACCCTAGTGACCCTCGTGACGTCACATGTGGCTACGTCAAAATGGAAAACGTTCCATAATGCAACGCGCGGTTACGCCGACGGTGACGGTGGTGGCGACGGCGACGCCGCTATAGCCGGAAACGGGCGCCTAAGAGCTGCGCTCTAAAAAGAAAAAAGAAAAAAAGAAAGAAACCACGGCACGTTAAAATGACGAGTTGCGCACTTTTATTTGAAAATTAACTTAGACCTGGTTGGTAAAGACTATTTAAAAAGCACACTAGAATAAAATATGCTGGGACGAAGATACACAGCACAGTTAAAAATATCTGTAATGTATGTCTCCGTCCCGACATGTTTTATTCTTTCGTGTTTTTCAAAAGTACATTTATTTTAAGCATGAAAGGACTCGTTCGCACTCCCACTTAACTTTTTTTTTTTATAAAAATATTATTGCGGTTTCTGTAAAAGAAGTTGAAATTTCAACTTGAAATTTGAAGACAATTACACGAATTAAAAGTCGAGAATTTGAATTTCTCACCAAGTGACTCATTTTTATTCCATCTTGCCCATTGCTCGAAACGTGCATCACACCAGTCACTGTGGTGACTGGTGTGATGCATGCGCCAGCAATAGATAAGAGAAAAACGTTCTTTCTGCAAGTGCAACAATCTAGCTGGAAATCCGCGCATGTAGAGGACGCGACAAGCCATTTTTGCCACTGCCGCTTAACTTCAGTGAATTAAAGTCATGAAAGTTTTCTCGCATGCGCCGAGCACTTGGAGAAATTGTCCTATTGCAGTGGTTCTCAAGCATCGTTGTATCGCGGACCCCTTGTGGAGCGGCGGAGACGATGGACGACCCCGTTCGTGGTGAAGGGCGGGGAAAGGTATAGGTTAAATATAATAATGATTAATTAAATGGATATAACAAGAACTAGTGTGAAGTAGACCTCCCTTATTGACATACGCACGAGAAAATTAGCCCAAAAACTGAAACATTTCTTCTCGTCCTGAAAAAAGCCAACTTTTTTTTGCCGGGCTTGACTGATGAGGCAGGGCTTCGCGGACCCCTAGAATGACTTCGCGGACCGCAAAGGCTCCGCGGACCCCCTTTGAGAACCACTGGCCTATAGAATAAAAAATTCAGCAGTTGACTTAACTAATGTACAACTAAAGATACAGATCATGTGAATGAAGCATTCACCATAGAATTTTTCAGAGATGTATTTATGTGCGATAACAAATAGGTTTGATTCCGTGTATTTCGCAATATTCGTTTTTTTTTTCTAAATGGTTATTTACAATTCTCTTGAATTTGGAGTTTTATTTCGCTATCTGGTCAATTTGTAAAGTTTGGCTCTAAATGCGCAAGAACTCTTTTCAACATCACATGATATTTCTTCTGGATAATTTTGCGTTAGCGCGCTTGATATGCGTAATAGTTTACTGTCCCAAGACAAAACTTGCAAACAAATGAGGCTACAATGTAGGGTGATACCCTACAATCTAGAAGCTCACGGACGTGACTGCTGGGAAACTAGTTTTTCTTTTTAATATTATTGCACCACTTCACCGATCGGTTGAACAAACCCCGGGGGGCGCCGAACAGAAAAATATAGAAATTGCAGCCGCCCTTCCCCCAACTCCCAGAAAATTTAATGTTCCGTAGCTTTTGCTGTTATAAAAAGCATAATCCTTTTCCCCCTCAGAAGCAAAAATAGTATGGCTCAAATTGGGAGCGTGAACAGTGATTTCTATCGTGACCAAGAAGTTGATTGACCCGTTGTCCTGACCAAAATTTGTCAGATAAGCGGTGATCCCCCATTTGTCAATTATTGTAGTTATGTAAGAAAACTCAGAACCAATTATCCTGTGCTGCCAGCCAGGTGTCTATAAACCCCGGTCCGCAGTCCAAATCCTGCCAGCGGAAGCCCCCCGAAAGGCCCGTGGCTGGCCACGCGGTCCTTCCCATAAAGCCCCGCCAATGGTCGTCTTAGCGCAGACCCACTGCTGATGATTTACGTGGTTGGAACGCACACCAACCATGTAAACAAGCAAACAAACAAAAAAAAATCGGTGTATTGTAAGGGTTGTTTTCTCGGGACAATATTAATTGGAAGTGATCATCACAATCATGGTTATTCTTAGTTTCCTGTTTCATATTTGTATAACTGTAGATGTTAAAACTAACTTGCGCTACACGTATAATAATGCGTGGAGCGCAAATTATAATAATAGACCGACCCCCCACTCTCTGTGTCGGCTCGACAACCAAAGGAATCCGTCGGGCCATTCGAGTGATTGTGCTACTGCTAACGCCTTCGAAAGTTTGATATTTTCATCGTCCACAAGTCCCGCCGTAAACACAGCAAAGCAGATTGTCTCTCCACATCACCGGTGGGCCGAACTATCGCCTGCACAAATGACGACGACGAGCTTTTTCTAGATGCCGTTGACGCTACCGATTTCGCTTCACACCAAAGAGACGACCCGGAAGCTCCGCCTCTGATTGAACACTTTCAAAGCTGTGAAAACGCCATTCCCCGCGCGTTCGCAAGTCAGATTCAGACTTTCTCACTCCGACACGTGGTCACATATAGAAAAATGACTTCCAGGACAACGCTTCTTTGTGGTCGCTGGTGATCCAAGGTGCCCCTTGTGCAGAAATACACAAAGCAAGTCAATACGACCCGCCTGCCGGACACATGGGATAGAGTTCCACCCTTGCAAGGATCCAGAAAACGTATATCTGGCCTTGACTTTAAAAAAACAGTGCGCAGTTACACACGCTTTGCCATTAATGACAACGGCGCAAGGCGCCGTTCACATGACTAGACGGACTACTTTAGCCGATTGGGACACCGACGACATCGATTCAGTAGGTAGAGATGGACTTGCTTGGACCATTTCTCACATTGACGGATGAAAACCACTGTGTATTTGTAGCCACATACTACCTCACTCGGTATGCTGAAACGAAACCAATGAGATTTGGGAATGTTGCGGAAGTGACAAAGCTTTGTGTGAGGTACATTGTCCTCCGGCAAGGGCGCACCACGAGTCGTGATCACTGACCAGGGTTCAGCGTTCACGGCAGAGCTAAACCAAGAGATCCTACACCTCAGTGGCACCGGTCACAGTCGAACCACTGCGTATCAATCGCAGACAAATCGACTAAAATGAGACTGAGCAAGACGCTTAAAGACAATGGCAATGCACGTCAACATGGAACACAAGACCTGGGGTGAAGATCTTCCATACATCACGTTTGTGTACCATTCATCGGCGTAGGAAACCACAGGGCTTACACCGCTCGACGTGGTACATGGATGCAAAATAACCACTATGCCTGATGCGATGCCGCCACATGCACCCCACGACGATGCCTTCGACGCTGTCGTGGTAGTCAGTCAGCTCGCTGAAGAATCCCACCGGTTGGCACGAATCCGGATTCAAGACGAGCGGTAGATTGAAGCCAGATGTTACAACCTTCGCCGCTAAGATGTCCTTTACCAGCCTGGTAAAAAGGTGCGGCCCTGGGCGCCGATAAGTCGCCGCGGTTCCACCGGAATCTTAAAAAAAATAACAAAAAAAAAAACATAACTCCTGCTTAACCAAGTTTTGCGCTGGCTTGGACACCTCATCTACGAAGTCATACCTGGCACAACGAGACCTTCATCTCAGCGTCTGCCACTGGATTTGCTATCTGCACAGCATCAACAAAAAAAAAAACAAAAAAAAGGGGGGGGGGGGAGGGGGGAGGGGGTAAAAAAGCGTATTTTACGGGTGGGCCAAGTGGATCAAGATTTTTGTAATGAGCCGCCGCAGACTGCCCCGCGAAGCGGCGATAACGCAGCGGGGGTTGTGGGTTAACAGAAGCCCCCATTATAACCGAAAAAAAATGCGGAAAAAAAAAGTCACGCAACCCTCATCAGCAGAAATGCGTGACGCCGAGAAACGACGTCACTGGAGTATCACGTAATGCTGTGCAAATAGCAACTCCCGTCCATTGCGCCCCTAAATTGTGTACGTTGTGCGTACGAAGCCCTTCATATACTGCTCCTGTACTTATTCGTTTCTTTTTCTTTCTCCTCTTGACATTGCATCAATTTTATGTAGCTTGTCACACCCCCTTTTGCATGCTATTATTTATTACCTTTACGCATCGTGTCGATGCGTTTTTGTTTTTAAAATTGACAGAATGCCGCGTGTGTTGGCCACTAGGCAACACACTTGTCTAACATGAGGACTTCCAAAATTCAAATTGCTTTCATGGTTTATTTTTTTTTTTAATCTTCCTTTGATTCTGTGAACTATTCTAAATATATTATGGTTGTTCTTGTACAGAAATGTGCAGAAAATGTCGTCGCTATAAGAACAGCCCGTCGTGGCTTCAGCAGGTCGATACTTCGTCAGCGTCCCCACACCCTTTATTTTATATTTTGTTTTGGTGCAAGATCGCCACGTTAAACGTTTAGTTTCCCCAGTTTTTTTGTTTTTTTTTTGTTTTCGCCGCTTCGTATTTTTCATAATATAACACATTTTTCGCACTGGATGATGACGCCTTTAACACACTTTTTGGAGTATTTAAGTTGTTTTCGACAAATCTTTTATCAACATATATTTTAGAAGATTACGAAGACATGGGGTCTTCATGAGCGCGTTAAATAAAATGACGAATGAATGGATGCATCATTTATTGAATGATTGTATAATAAGATAATGAATTGGTAAAGAATCATTTAACTGGTTACATTAACAATTCAAGGTGGACCTTCTGTTTGATCGCCGCCGCAATAATATGACCCTAGAGCTCTTTTTTCTCTTAATGGCCCAGATTAACTTCTGCACTTTTCGTCTTCCTCTCGTCTTGGTGGCACTAAATGAACGAAAACAATTAATGAACGAACTATTGAGTTAGTGAAGGAAGTAATGTAAAATACTGAGTTAACACGTTTCCTTTACTTTTCTTTGCAGCGGTCATCTTCGTGTTTGTCCTCTTGATGGTCATATTCTCCGGTTTCTCCGCCATCGCATCCCTCGTCTTGATCATCGGCCTTTGTACAGTAAGCCAAACCTTGCTCCATCCTAGCTCAATTTATATCGCTACTGAAGTCAAAAGAGGTGGGGGTTTAATATCTTCTTTTGACAACCTTGCGGGTGCATCGTAAAAAAAGCAAGAATGAGGGAAGCCGGTGTTGATAAAAGAGAATAGTAAGAGTAGCTGCAAGATATTGCCTTAAGGTCGAAAATAAAAATAGAACCACAAGAACTATAAGAAGAAAACAACTTTGCCGGTGACTTCGCGTTGAGCAACTTTAGTTCAAATACTCAGAAAAAACTATAAAACAAAAATAGTGAAATATTTTTGTTGTTCGCTATTTTTTCTCTCAGTGTTTAAACTCTGTGGAAAATGATATTTTTTCCTACTTTTTATGTGGGATAAATGTTTCTCCTTGCGTTTAATGACATCATTTTTATATTGTAGTATTTTGATTTGTATTTGTTTGTTTACTCCCTTTTAATACTTTTTTTGTCATTAGGCCTTAACGGGAAGGGTAGCGAAGCAGCAAGAGATCACACCGTAACTTCTTCTATTAAAGAAGCAATTCGTTCCTTCTTCAATTGTTCTTAGAGGTTGTCAAAGTTGATGTCCTCAATATTTATTTGTATAATACACGTACAAAATTGAGCAAACTTCAAAGAGTTGTACAGAAACTATTTCAACCCCCATACCACACAACTGACGCAAAATATAAAACTGCTGAGAAATTTTAAATGCACAAATGAAATAATGTTTCTTCAAGAGAAAAGAAAATTTGTGGAACTTAGGTCAGTATCTAGAGGGAGCATTATTTTGATGTTTATTCAGTACGGGATGTTTTAATTGTGCATTTATAGCGGAAGATTAGTTTTACTTTGTTTGATAAGCGATGCATTAAAGTATGCATCATCGCTGTATTCTGTCAGTTACCTTTCACTTTCTTTTCGTCTTCGCGCTGCTTTTGTTTTCAAACACCTTAGTGCCTCTGAAAATGAGGATAAAACTCTAGGATTGTCCACCAATTAGCTTCGCAACGAAAAGTTTTAAAAACAGTTACACGTGCAAGATATTTTAATTGAACTACATTGTCTCCGTACTTATTTTCATCAAAGTTTCCTTGTCTCTACTTTTGTTTTATGTGGACAGGATAATCGCCTCTTGCTGCTTCCGTGGATAGCCTGTGTGTCAATCACAACCATCCTGGATGTTGCACTGTCTTTCTACTTTCTCGCAGACGCGGTAAGTATTTTTAGTCCTTGAATTATCTGCATGTATACCTTGTCGTCGACCGTCCCTGCAGGTTGTGGACTAAAAGCTCCCCCGCGGCATAGAACTCATTATCGGTCTGAGGTCTCGGCTGTACGAAGAGCAAGCGAAAGTTTGATGCTGAGGGCAGCACTAGATGCGAATGAAGTGTTCATACATAGCAGTGATGGTATTATGTTTCATGTAAGATGGACCGCATAAAAGCTACCAGCCATCGAAGCCAATCCACTGCCATGAAAGTTTCACCTGGTCTTTGCCTTCGGGAGGAGCGAAGCGACAGCCGGGGTGCGTCGTCACGTGATTCATTGACTGCGCTGGATTGGCTGAGATAGCTCCGTGTTCGCTGCGGTCATCGAGCAGCAGGAAAGAAGTCAGCTTTGTATATACGTAAACAAAGGCAATTTTAGAAGAAAAAAAAACCGAACTGTGCGATTAGGTTGTTTATAATGCTCGCTATCAGAGATCTTTTTTTAACTGCACATTTCAGTGAATTAAATTGTGATTTAAAAGAATTGATATTTATTTTTAATATTTTTTATTATGTTTTATTAAAAGTTTTTTTTTTTGGTTGTAAAAAAGGGTGTTATTTTGGCTTTAGGTAATTTTTTCCACAGTCCTTAGAATTATAATGCACGCTAGAACATATTTGCCTCTCATTCCGCTCCAGTGGTTTCATTGGAGAATCCCCCCCCATAAAAAAAATACACATTTAATATACATTCTTTCTTTTTTAATAAAATGTGTTCCCCCATTCCTTTTTTTTCCGTATTTAACTTTGACATTTGTTTCAAAGAGATTGCGCGGAAGAATACAAAACAATACAATTCAATACGTTGAGCGAACACTTCAGATTTTCCTTCGAGTGAAGAATCAAGAAAAATGTTGGCAGTGGGCGGTACCTGTTGTCACTTTGATTGAGGGTTTGTAACATCACGTTCGATACGTTGTCAATTTTTTCCGCTTTCCTTTTCAAGACATAACACAAATCCTTATCGCAGTACCCTAACACAGACTCCAATTCCTTTTGTTATTTAATAAAGATAGAAAGAATACTTGTACCCAGCTTCTGTGTGTGTCTTTTATACTTTCCGTTTCGCGTTTTAGATCATAAAGTGACTTACTCCAAACGTTTTGGTTTTGATTCAATTCCATTTTGTTCACAGCTGAGTGACCTGGTGACTATTATCTTCTGCATTGTGGACTACACCATTTGTGCATTAAACGTAAGGACATTCTTTATTCACAGCAAGTTGTAAACTAAATACAGGATCAAATAATAATTATATATTTATTCAGTGAGTGAACTGCGGGTAGACGTAGGTGGACTCTGCTGTAAACGCCTTTATCCAGGGTTTACTTTATTTACAAAGACTATACTTAAAAAAAACCTTTCTGGGTAGTTTTGTATCGTCGAATGAAAGCTACAAGTAATCTTTTACATAAGAACAGACGTAGTTTAAACATTATTTTGACATAAATTATATTTTGCATTAAACAGAGGCGGAAGCGTATATACAGATATCGCTTTTAAGTACCTCTTATAACATTCTCTCCCTCTGCCAACCCATGAACATTTCAAAGAACACATTTCTAAGCGTTGTTGAACTACCCAGACTAACAGGTAATGTTAACATGATTTCATAATAAAATAAAAATAAAGATTAGAAGCTCAAAATGAAAACGAAAAATATAGTTCATACATAATGTTTCGCGTTCAGAGCAGTTACCAAAAAGGGTTTTATCGGTTCGTTGATTAAACTCTGCCGAAGTAAAAACCCGTCAGACGTAGAGTAGAAGGATATGTTGTATATACAGAGTGTTTCACGCAAGGTGGACAAATTCGATATTTCAAAAACGACGCGTCACAACATGAAAATACTTCGGTCGTTTTGGTTCCGGGCCAGGGGCCTATTTATGAAAATAATTAAATTCCAGGATAATTAGGTTGTTAATTATTTTTGCGTAATTAACTTTTTAATATTGTGTTTAAGGGCATGGTTTGAATGAAAGAATTGCTCAGCATCATCAAAAAACACTAACCAACAAATTGCACAACGATAGAATGCACGCGAAGCATTTTACTGCTTTCTGAAAAACTGCACAAATTCGACGGGTTTTTAAGTTTCGGTTTACTATCTGAGCGCACCTCGGCCCCGGCAGCACCGCGCCCCGTGGAGAAATAGTGCAACCAACCTCCGCTGCTTCGCGCGATGACAGCGCAGCAAAGGTTGGTTGCACTATTTCTCCACGGGGCGCGGTGCCGCCGAGGCTGTGATGCGCTCCGATAAAAAACCGAAACTTAAAAACCCGTCGAATTTGTGCGGTTTTTCAGAAAGCCGTAAAATGTTTCGTGTGACTTCTATCGTTCTGCAATTTGTTGATTCAGTATTTTTTGATGATACTGAGCAATCTTCTAATTGAAACGATGCCCTTAAACAAATTATTAAAAAAGTTAATTACGCGAATATAATTAACAACTTAATTATCTTGAACTTGTATAATTATCCTAAATAGCCCCTGGCCCAGAATCAAAACGACACAAGCCTTTTTTGTTTTTCTTACGACGAGTATTTTTTGAAATATCGAATTGGTCCACCTTTATTAAAACGCCCCGTTTATGTTACGACATTTTAGATATAACATGGTTAGTGTTTGGTCACGTATACGTAAGAGCTACCTTTATTTTTTTCGTTAAAATCGAGGCATGGAGATTATAATGCAATGCTTCAAAAATCCAATTAAGTAACTATGTACATTTTAAGATAAAATGTGAGTGTTTTAAGTACTAAAACTACTGAACCTGGCGTATTCGTTATAATAACGCCTCGTACAATCAGTGTTAGTAATGTGGCTTGTATTGGTCAAAGGAATACAATAAGTAGCAACCGGCGGCTGACGGTAGGTTAACGACACACATTGCAGATAGCCAGTACCTAGGCAACTAATAACAATAATATTAATAAAACTTGTATTGCAAATAAAGAAAGTGAGTGCTACTACAATGATAATTTAATAATAACGATGCTTTTATTGCAAATGAATGGACCCTGCTAAAATAATTGAAATTGGCTTCTCTAACACGTTGTCCAGCTACTACGCATTTGGAACCTAATACGTGTAGCGATCCTCTGTTTTTGAGATTATAAACGCCAGCACTCATAAACAATTAGCCTGAAATTACGTAAACAAATTTAGATTTTGATCAATCAATTTGCTTGAAAGCAATTCTATGAGATGGATATCTCTCTGACTCGGACACAATAAATAAAGCACTACAATCAACCAAATCCTAAAAATAGAGACCCTAGGTTTCGATAATTACTCGGTTCATCTTTAGGGGTGACTATAGCGATGGCCGTTGAGGAGCAGTATTTTTCGATCTTCTTTAAGCCATATGCCGGTGCTCCTTCACAAAGAATGTTTTCAGAGCACCAAGACACGTTTTTCATTTCTTTTTGGCTTCGATTGAATGTGACAGGATTCAATCAAGAGTCTACGCCCGAGGTTAGTCTCTGCGTAGATGATGCGGGTGCTGTTAAAAGCAGTCCGGTGGTTTCTGACGTCGCAGTGCTCATGCCACTGCGCTGTGCTCATGGTCAAACTTGCGCACGTCGTCTTTGTGTTGGCAAATTTTTTTATTGAAATTGCTCGTCTCGCTGGTCTAAATTTCTGCGCATTCAATGCAAGGGATCTTATATACCACGCCTTTTTTTTCCCTGTCACCGGGCGATCTTTTTGACGGGGCATGAGCCTTCCAAAAGTGGACATCACTTGAGGGCCACGTTGATTCCTTCTTTGGCTATCACGCGTGTCAGCACTTCCCTTGTTTCTTTGATGTAGGGCACGCAGATGCGCGAGTTTGAGCAAGGCTGGATACCTGCTTATGGCAGCTGGTGTCGGTAGTCTCGGGCTTGACCCGTGTTGTATTGTTTGCCGTACATATTTGGTTTGCTATATCGATTCGTCAGTTGATTTTTTTTTAATATATATTCTTGCGCTGACGTTTTAACCGATCAAGTAGACACCTACTGAATGTGTTTATCTTGACAAATAAAAACGTCGCGTATACTTTGCTTCACTTTGTATGAGAGCGCAGTGAAAGGTAATTGGCTCAGCGGTCATGTCATACGCAAATAAATATTACGGACGTAGTGACATTCCACTTCTTACACTGCTTAAATAGCCGCCATTAGCGTGTAGCGTCGGCTATGCTCTGACTTGTGGTGAAACAAAGTATTGGAGGATTTTTTTTTGCTTTTGCCTATATCAGCTTTGTAAGTGTGCGTTTTAAAGCGTGCTCTTCGAGTATCGTAAGCCTTTGCACCTCGTCTCCGAACTGAACTGATCGCTTTCAAACATGTTGGCGTTGCAGATCTATTGTTTGTTGTGCGTCGTCTCCCAGTACCAAGAGTACCTTGCAGGAAGAGGGCGCTCTCACACCGTGGCGGCTGTGCAGGTACGTGCCTATCGCTCTCTTAATGTTTGTGTTGGGTCTAATGCGTGGAGTTAAGCCAGTCTTCATTCATCAGACTATTTTTCTGTACACGGTAAAGTCATTCAGTAAGGGCTTTGTTTCAGTTTACAGACAGTAACGCGTGACGTATTTTATCTTTTTTATTAGTTGACAAAAAACATTAATTTATCTGCGCCCTATGATGAAGGCGTAGATAGCACCCTAAGTGCGACGCGGGCCTTGATCAGCTCAGCTATGTATCCTTGAATGTTTCACCGACTGGTGTCTTCAGCGCTCCGTACCGCCTTTGCATTGAAAATCTTCCGAAGTTGCAAGAAAGGACGTTACGTGTAATGCAGTCGGATGTCGCGATCCTGTCGGCCGGTTGCAAAAGTACAGGCCAAAAGCACGAGCAAACGCGAGTGTCGCTTTTGTCGAAGCGTCGCAACCTCTGGGTTTTGAAGCTCTTGTGAACCCTAAAGCGGGGGTGCGAACTGCAACTTAACAAACTTTTCTTTGTTCACCTCGGCTGCTGTGCCACTACCAGGATCGCGGCACGCGACTGCATGACACTTTGATGACGTCAGCAGCGAAAAATCGAGGTATCATAATTGGAGACCCGGTGCACACATCATTCGGGAATGGGTTTCAGGTGCCCTAGCTCACGTGCTTCGGTTATGGCACACATAAAAATATGTCGATATGTCTGGCCATAGAGGCATTGAGACAGATATTAATGAAGAGGCAATACAGTGTGTTTCAGCTAACTTGCGCTAAGACATACAAAAACTAGTGCTTACAACGCATGTCGAACAGTCCTATTGAGCAAGCCAACATTTGTTGCCGGCAATCGGCGACGTCCGAAATCGAAATCGTCGCTGCGGTTGGTTTTCCACGATTGGGCGAATGGTGACTTTGACATAGTTAACGTATTTCTCTTCGACGGAAGTAAGAGTAATGCGTTTTCATATGTTATGAATGTCAAGGCATAATTCTAAGCGGTATTTGCTGAAAGTAACAAACATTGCTGCAGCTCCCCTTTAATATATCCTGCAGTGGAAACTACAAGCATGAGCTCATTTCTCAAGGACGCACCTCGGCTTCATGAACACACGGGCAGCAGAAGCTCCTACTATAGCTTTGAACTGCAGCTTTGAGCCTTTTCAGCGGTACATAGAGTGACATCGGGTCCCTTTGTGGCAGTCTGCTTCTTTCTTACATATGATCTGGAGCATTTAAATGAACGTTCCACTTACGCTATACATGGGTTGCACTGAAGTCACCTAGCATACTTTTGACCACCATATAAAACGAGGAGAAGGAAGCTGATTTTGTAAGAATTTTGAGTGTCGGGTTAATCTTCTATAATCTTGTGGGAGGGGATTATCGACGTGTGTGCAAATCTGGGAGGCACAAAAGTGAAGGCTGCTAAAAGGGGAGCTCCTTCTTCCCCTCTTCTCTGGTGGTCATCGGAGCGCTCTTTGAATGACGTCACGTGAATCACATGTATTTGTGCGTGTCTACGATATCGGCATCCACCGAGCCAGCACATCCCCTGTGCCAACACATCCATCGACGGATGTGATGGCTCGGTGGATGTGTTGACATGCGTCCTTTGAAATTAGTTGCTCCATGGATGCGATAAAGCGGTGAGTGTAATGGCACGATGCATCGAACTACACAATTAATGTAATGACGCGTGGGACCAGGTTGCCCATAATTGATGTAGTTTCTCATTCGATTTTGTGTCACGACGACGGTAGAGTGGCTGGAAGGGGAAGCGTGCCGGGGGCCGAATGAGCGCAGTGATAAGGAGGGGCACGAGGCGCCATGAAAAGCTTTAGAGCCTAGATTGTAGAGAGGGTCCATCTGGAAGCCATGGGGATCGTTTGAAATTTAATGGCCGACGCCACCGGCGAAGATTGGTCGCAAGTGCGCATGCGCTGCGTTTTCGCGTGGCGAGGAGGAGAGCAGTCGGACGGGCTGAGGCGATCGCAGACGAGCAACGCGTTCGTCGCTTCGTCGCTGCTCACATTGCAGACGTGGCCCATGAACCACGTGATCTCGATCGAGCAGCGGGAGACTTTCTGGAATCTAGGCTCTCTCAAAATGGTTGGCACCGCTTAACGCGTCTAGAGAGCCTCAAGCAAGAGTGTGTCCAACTTCACACCCGGGATACGTGTTTATGGGCGCCATTAAATTGCAAAGTTTAGCTGTGGGTCTAAAGGGCTACGTTCGCTTTTTCAAAGCAACTCCGGCTTAAACAGACCTTGAATTGCCTGAATATTTTACGCAAAGGATAAAATCAAACTTTTCTTTAGACACAGTTTTTGTTCCGATAGGACAACCATTTTTGTTTTGTAAGCAGAAAAGTTTCTGATCCGCCATCTTTAACGCCACCATCAAATGGCAAACGCACTCTATGGTTTGATTTGAAGAGACACTTACTTGATGCTCTCTAAACTCGTCTGCTGGCTGCAACGCCTCTAGCGGTCCCAAAAATTTCTTCCCGGAATTTTCATCGCGGAATCTAGGCGTACGACCCATTGAACGGGTGGAACGTGCGAAATTCATCTAGTCACAGAAAGCCGAGTCAAAATATAAAGTAGCTATATGACCTTTCAACACACGCCCCGCTGGCAGCGCACGTGTGTTGCGATGACAATCGTCGCCACCGCGAGTGGCGCAGCAGTCTTGAAACAAGTCGTTTTCATCGCAACTCTATGCAGCTATGATGCCTGAAACGCGTCCCTGATTGTTGGGTTCCAAATATCGGTCCCTCGATTTCCACCTGGTGACGTCACAGAAGTATCATTCTATCGCCGGTCCCGATCCTGGCGGCATCCCAACAGTGGTGCTGGATGCGGCAGATGGCTGCTCTGCTGAAGGTCGCTCTACAGTGTGGCAGCCCAAGGAAGTTTCTGCAACCTGAAGTTGGGACGCCGCGACGGAAGTGACACCTCGCTTTCGCTCATGCCGCTCGTGCGGCTCGTGCTTTTCGCCAGCATCCCTACGATCGACCGCTAGGGTCGCGACATCTGACTGCGTGACACTCCGACTTTTGTGACGTCATTTCTGGTCCCTTCGGGACCACTTTTGATGTATGGGTGGGATGGGAGGCTAAACGCACCAATCGGAAACGCGTTCCAGACACCATAGTGCAGCCCTTCGCTCTCCGCCCGGAACACTTCCCATTCCCGCCACCGTAGCGGCGCTGTGGGCACGATGGATGTGATGGCTTAAAACTGGAGATATTGAATCGTCACCTGACATGGCACGGCGGATGAGTTGGTCCCAGACGGCAAACTGCGATGATAGTACCCTAGGTCAAGTGGGATCATATTTGCTTGGAGCTCGCACGCTTTCTTTAAATTTCTAAAAATTACACACGAAGTCTACCTTTATGGAAACAGCGCATTGTTATGTTCCGCAGCAGGCCCTGCGACTATTGTCTTGGGGGGTTCCCGCGCAATTTAATATTTCTTAAGTCAGCCGTTTCATCTCTTTTAATTGTCTGATATGGCACATCGCGAAATGCCTTGACTTTTTCAATAGGACCGTAGACAATACCGCGTTAGGTGGACATAGGTACCGAGCTTCAGATTTTTTTCAATGTCCTATATAGCGCCCTCTAAATGTATGTATCAATATTTCTGCAAAATAGCAACAAATATGCGTCAAAGGGTTTTCCAATATTTACAAAAATTGCACTATTGTTTTACTCCGCGACGAAATCCCAATATCCGCCGGGGTATTCGAACGAGATTCCCTGCCAGACCCACGTCACATAAAAGAATAGGCGGGAAGCACCTCCCTCCCCCCTCCCTCTAAAATGTCATCTCTAGTACAGTGGATCCCAGCCGCAGAGCCTAGCTCGTGCCAGCGTCTCTGTCGTGCGTCTTACAGCGTCCCCCGCCGAGCGTGACGCCTGCACGCGACGCCACCGCCAAAACATACGCCTCTGCCCACTTTGCGTCCATTGTTGCCGAGCTTCAGCACAATTGCCTCTTGGGGCGGGCTGGGGGCATCCACAAGCAATGACGTCATACCTAGACCTTTGTCTTCTAGGAGCTATTGGCCGTATAACCTGTTTTGCCGCCGCCGCCGCCGCATGCACGCGCACGCTCAATCGAGCGGGCAAAATGGCACGGCTTGCGGCTATGTATACCTCGCAAAGTTAGAAGTGGCTCCGAAGACCGCCAATTTCAGTTACGGCGCCCTAAGGAAGCTCCGCGTAGTCTGGGTATACAAACAAGGCACGGGAGGGAAATCAAAAACGAAAGCGAGGATGGCGCGAAAAAATTTTGCGAATCATCCTCATGAAGCAGCGCAGGAACGACAATGACGTTCAATATTATTTATTTAAGCGAGCGCCGGGTCGCTTGATCTGTGACAAAGGTTACGCGGTAGAGTAAATGCGCCCGGAGTAGTTTTGTTTAAAATTTCTCTGTACCATGGTTTTGACTTTTTTGTTTAACCACAACATGAGCATAGCCAACGCTCGGAGGCTGTGAACGCAATCACTCAGCGCGAGGGTTGCAACGTCACGACCATCGTCTGCGTTTTTCTGCCAAGGTTACCGCCGACAAAGTCAATCGATCGCCTTGTGTCTCTATACTGCCCCTCTGAGTTCATGTTTTTATTTTTCGACTGCGTTCTTTCAAATTGTGGGTGAGTGAAAACATTAACTTTCATTTATTTATTTATTTTACAGTCGGGGCGAGAGGCATTACAGATGAGAGGGATGAGATAACAAACAAAACATCAGTGGATAATACAAAATAGTTCAACGCGTGTTCGATCCCTCTCTTGCCAAGCGGTGTCGGGTAAAAGGCGAATGGCGGTTAGAGAGGGGACTGGATTCCGGCCCGCCTTCCGCAGGTCAAACAAAATATTGTACCGCTCGGTCGCTCGTTTCAGGACCGAGCGGCCGTGCGCTACCGACAGGGCGACAAGGTACACACGGACGAGCACCGCCACAACGGTCCGACCTCCTCGCTACTGCTCACCGTCCCGACGGTGTCCGCTTCGACGGGAGGCCCCCGAATGTCGACGGACATGAGCTCTATCTCGGAGGACGTCTTCAGTTCTCGCCGGATGAGCACGGAGAACACCAGCGCCGACATGGAACCGTGTCCCACAGCCACCCTCATCAAGGTACGTGCGACAGGGACGACGAACCACTGGCGCTCGCCTGCTGCAGAGATATCACTGCAAAACTAACCTAACCTAATCTGAGCTAACCTGACTACATTTAACCAAACCTAGCGTAACCTAACTAATATTATTGAATGTTAACTAACTTAACCAAACATATCATCATATAACGTAACCTAACCTACCCTAGCAAAACCTTGGAAAGCCTAAGCCGACATAATTGAAGCCTATCTCGGTTTATCTATACCCCGTTCGCCTCCAAGATGGCAGGACAGCATAAGCTGCAAGAGCAAGTCACCACGAGCTCGTATGTTTAATCCGTGCACTCGTGTAAGTGCAGCACAAGTTTCTTCTAAAGCATCAATTCCTGGTACGCAGCTTCCGCTGCCGCCATGTAAGCGTATGGGTGATAAGAGTACAGCAGAAGTATGTTCTACCATCTTCCAGCACTTTTGCCCTGATAGTTTTTTTTTTTTTGTTTTGTTTCTGCATTAACTGATCTTAATCATGCATATTTTTGCGTATAAGTCGAATAGCATTACACTCCATTTGCAATAGATCAGCCTTGTTTTTTTTTAAATCAGAATCAATGCCACCTCTGTGAGTTTGCGGCCTATGTGCATCCTATGACAAAAAAATTCTAAGTTGAATTATTTGCGAGGATGTCTAGCAAAGTTCCGAGACACACTTATAAACGGAATTCCTAATTCAAGAGGTTTTGGACAAACAGGATAGTATTTCCTTCGGAGTGCTATCGATAAAAGAAGCCCAGTATCGACTAGGCGAGCAAATTTACCGTATGTCTAAGCATCTTAAGAGTGTTAGAAATAAACAAGGATCAGATGTACAACTTGTTCCACTTGAGGAGGCCGTAAAAATATGAAAGAAGCCTTCTGTTCTCAGTAGAAAAAGCTCGTCGGCCTGAAAAAAGAAATAAGAAAAAAAAAAGGGGTCCAAGGAACAACATAATCGTGTTTCGCATTCATGAACACGAGCGGGAGACAGACGAGACAATAAAAAAGGTTATGCAAACATTGTCCCGGTGCGGCCTGAACGTTGAAGTACACTTGGTGGAACGCATTTGCAGGCTTGGAATAAAACATGTAGATAAAATTAGGCTAGTTTTTTTTTTTATGAAATTGTACGACTAAAACGAAAAGAGCGATGAGTTTAGAAGCTGTCTGAAACTGAAGGGCCAAAAAATGTCGGTGTCGAATGACTAGTACTGACAGGTGACTGCGTAAACGGAAGCTGCTCCAAAGCGATGCAATATTAAAGAGGGAAAAGGTCTCTCAGTTAAAACTTTTTAATGATAACCTGCGAGTCACAAAAGGCTCGAGGTGCACCCAAGCACTTCTTATGAGTTGTGAATGTGAAAGCATGCTTGTCGTTTTTCCGCGTCGGCCGTATTTGCGTCGGCCGATCACGGGCTTTCCCAGCTCTCCCTCCCGCTCTGACCTGCGCGATCCCGGCGTCGACACGCAGCGCCATGGGGTGGCCGTCGTTCAAACTGACGCGCAGCGGCCAATGGGATCCTCGTCGACGCACGCCCACCAATGGGACTGAAGCCGAAAACCATCCGCTTGAATCCACTTCTTTGGGATCGGGGAAATTAGGTACCGCTGTCTGGGCTTTTCGCGTGGTTTCATAGCTGGGAGCTGGCTTCGCTTGGAGAAAGGATTTAAGGTGCCGTTTGGCGCTGCTTCAAAGCTGATGACGTCGGACAAGTCGCCCGTTGAGGCAGATTACGTTCCAAGCTGTATAAACGTACACACAACACGATGACGTCGGCTCGCTCCACGGTACAGTTAATGCTTTCGCATTAAAATAGCACATACGCATTGGATGACGGTAAAAATTCCGTGTAAAGATTAGTGTGTATCTGAACTCGAAAGGATCGTTTAAGGGTCTGGGCGGAAATCCGCTCATGTGATTTTCTCACCTTGATATTCCACTGATGACAATAAGTACAAAACAACATTGCGATAATCAAAATATATTGACGAACGAAATATTCCTTTTGTAGATACTATTTTTGAAAAGAGAACTCAGCTTTCTTAGTAAATTTCCGCAATGTAAAAAACAACAACAGCATAATTGAAGAGTTAAATGGCCAATACATGTATTTCGTCACGACTTCATTTTCGGCAGAGGATTGTGGTTAGGTGATTCAATTTTGAACACTGAAATGTTTAGGGATCGGCGTCGATCGAAACGTTTAACCCGATCTATTGCTACTCTTCAATCAATTAAACAATTAATTAATCGGTTGCGTTATTCTTCATGCATGACGTCTCAAAAAGTGTAAAAATACACTGTTTATTTCCCTTTTCTCTGCTATGTCATCAAATGCGCCACGAAGAGCCTTATTTGAGTATTAACGCGCTTCAATATTCAAATAAGGCGGTTCGTACAGCGCTGTACCAACCACAAGAAAAATGCAATAACACGAGCGACCTATCTTAAGAACAAATATTTATGAATTTTGGTTGAAAACTTATAATCCCCATGGGAGACTCTCGAACGCGAAACTACATTACCATAGCACACAGCAGTGCTGACTCCTGAAAACGACAAATATCACACCTGGCAGCAAGCGGGCATTTTTATAACTGAAAATCCAACCGATCGATTAACCGGATAAAATTTTTAATAACGATTAATGCCTTAGGTCATTAATCGGAAGGTTAATTGATCAGTTGCCCAGTCCTTTTCCTTCCGAGTGTAATGAATATACAAGAGATAAAATGGGCGTGAATTTGGTATATGTTTGTTAGTAGGAATCTGAACAGTGTGACAATCGATGTGGAAACGGAACAGGTGGAATCCGTCTAGTGACGGATACGAACGCCTAACCAATATGATATATATGGCCATTGGTGTGTTTTGCCATCCTCCTGAAACCGGTGTCGAGACACTTGTAGTCTAGAAGAAGAATATGTCTGTTCTACCCCATGAGATCATTTCTCTGGAAGGGGAATTTAAACTTCCAGAACTAGAATAGCACGGTGATGACACTACTGTGTCAAATGAGGCTATTTATGTTAATTCGATGATATGGTCACTTCCTATGATCTTGAACATCTTGTTCGGAAACCAAATAGATGGGTAAAATGTATTAGATCTGCTTCTGCTTAAAAGGGAAATTCTTCATGATGTATCCGTCGTTTCAAATAGTAGCAAACACAACATAGTCACTGCCAGTTTAATGCTCGGTCAGCCTTGACGTTCCCGAGGAAAGGATGGAGAAATGTTTATCTACGATCAAATTATTGGAGCTAATAGAAAATAAATTGATATATATTTAAAGCATTTTGAGTTTCTTGCTCTAGATAACAGTATAGATGCAACATGGGACATTTTTTAAATAGTTTATAAGAATTGATTTATAAATATGTTAATATTTAAAATGGTTTATAAAATAAAGGATTTTAAAAATCGCGATAAACAAAAAAACACGTTTATTGAGATTAACTGATTTTTACATTTCGTCTATATTTAAAATTGCGAAATCAAAAATGAAAACGAAAACCGGATGACTTCTACCCTCAAAATGCATAAAGAAACGGTGATCTAATTATCAGAAATGTAAAATTAAACCATGCATTTCTGCGTCTGCCAAACTAAAACAAAACTTGCTAAAACCTTTAGGATATTTACTATCACGCTTAAACGGGAGTATTTTGACAAACCCTTAAATGGCATGCGTCTAAATAGCAAAGATTTCTTAATATAACTGCGAGGGACATGTAAAAAGACATCGGAACTGCACACATTTTATACCAGGACGACGTAAATAAAGAAAGTCACAAAGTACAAACGGATTTAATTAATATTTTAGTTTGTATTTCCCTCTAGCGTGAGGCATTATGCACCCCCCCCCTTTTTTTTATCGAAAATATAGTGCCGCATATGTCACCTGTGGTTACAAATGTTGAAGACAAAGAAATGCTTAGATGAGTGTGGTGTTCAGAAGGCGGGAGGACATGATTGATTGACACCTAGAGTTTTAAAGTTGTGCTTATAGATTGCGTTCTCCTACCTTTACATATTTTTTTCTAAAACTTTAGACGAGGGTACGCTTTCCAATAAATGAAATCTGACGCACGTTACTAAAGTTCACAAGCATTGGTAAAAACACAGATAGAGAATTAACGCCCCATCTCTCTTAGCTGTGCATGTTGCACGATTTTTTAACATACTATTTATTACGGTGTGTATAAACATCTCGATAGCAAAAGGCATTTTCTCCTGTCCGGTATGGTTTTAGAAAGGGTCTCGTGTGCGCTAAACAGCTCGTCAATCTTTACCATTATTTGGTTTTGACTTTAGAGGGGAGCTGAAATGCACGTTATTTTTCTAGATTTTAGAGCCCAGCTCTTAGGCGCCATTTTCCGTATTAAGCGGCGTCGACGTCGCCATCGGCCCAACCACGTGTTGCATTATAGAACGTTTTTATAATGACGTTACACATGACGTCACGTGTGACATCACGCTCGTGAAGTCACACGGCGCCTAAATTTAGCGGGGATACTTTTCCTCTAAATTTGGCGGAAAAAGTTGCCGCAGTAAATTTGGCGGGAAAACTTTTCCCACTAAAATTAGCGGAGAAATTCATCCGTAAATTTATCAGAACAAATTCACCGCTAAGGTTAGCAGGAAATTTCTCCGCTAAATTTAGGGAAAAAATTCCCCACTAAATTAAGCGGAAAATATTCCCCTCTATATTTAGCGCAAAATATTTTCCGCTATATTTATCGGAAAAATCCTCCGCTAAATTTAGATAGAAATTTCCCCGCGGAAAATATTCCCCGCTAAATTTAGCGAAAACAATTTCCGTTAAATTTAGCGAAAAAAAATTTCTCGCTAAGTGTATAAAATAAATTTCCCCTTTAAATTTAGCAAAAAAAATTCACCTATACATTTAGCGAAAAAATTCCCCGATAAATTTTGCAGCACAAAACTTAGCTGAAAGAATGCAATGCTAAACTTAGAGAAAA